GGCTGGACCCAGCAGGCAGGGGCAGGGGCTGATGAGCCCGGCAGCTCCTGGGCCAGGTGTCTCTGTTGCTCCTGCCCCCACATGGGCACCAGGTCCAGAGAATGCGAAGCTGCCAGTCCAGCGCAGTCGTAAACTTTCCCCGCACTACTAGCTACATCCAATTCACTGGGCACCACTAGGGATTCGTGCCAAGTCTCACAGCGCTGGGAGTTTTGCGAAAGCCCCACCTGCGGAGAGCAGATTGCATGACAATCTCCGCTTTCATTTTAAAAAGAGTCTTCTTCCCACCCTCTTTGTTTCAGCTAAAATCTTGAAATCACCCTGTGACTGCAGCCTAGCAGCTCTAAACGCAGAAGGCAACCAACAAACACAATTTTGTTGTGTCTGTTTTTGAGTCAAGATGTTTGAGAGCTTGAGATTGTGGTGCACTTGCAATATTACCAGTCACCAGCATCTATGAAAACACTGCTGTAGCTACCCCACTGTACAGATGGTGGAACCAGTATGTCCGCAGCTGGTGAAGTGTTAGGCTATAAAGCTGCATAGCCTGGAATCCAGTTTCAGTTAGAACATGAGATCAGTTTTGTGTGTACAGATCAGCCTGCACAGTGTCACAACAGAAGAGGGTGAGTACAGCAGTAGGCAGTGGGGGTACGTCTAGACTACATAGCTCCGTTGACGGAGCCACGTAGATTTGTGTATTTGGCAAAGGGAAATGAAGCCGTGATTTAAATAATCGTGGCTTCATTTGATCAACTGTTTGTCCGCAGATCAGGGCAGTCTGGACGCTCCCCTGTCGACCTTAAAGCCCTTTGTCGACCTCCCCGGTAAACCTCATCCCACGAGGCATAAGGGGGAGGTCGACAAACGGCTTTCAGGTTGGCGCGGGAGCGTCCAGACTGCCCCGACCTGCTGACAAACAGCTGATCATCAGCTGGTCGGCAGAGCGCGGCAGCCATTTTAAATTTAATACAGCTGATCATCAGCTGGTCGGCAGAGCGCGGCAGCCATTTAAATTTAAATGAAGCCACGATTATTTAAATCACGGCTTCATTTCCCTTTGCCAAATACACAAATCTACGTGGCTCCGTCAACGGAGCTATGTAGTCTAGACGTACCCCCACTGCCTACTGCTGTACTCACCCTCTTCTGTTGTGACACTGTGCAGGCTGATCTGTACACACAAAACTGATCTCATGTTCTAACTGAAACTGGATTCCAGGCTATGCAGCTTTATAGCCTAACACTTCACCAGCAGCGGACATACTGGTTCCACCATCTTCACTCCTCCCACTGTGCACTTATCCCCTGCATCTGCAAAGCTTGAATTGCTTTAAACCCTGTGTGGATCTTGGGCTGCTTCAA